TCCTCCTGTTGGTTAGCCGTTAGCGGTGCTGCTAACGTTACTAGCTCACCTCCTGTTGCTTTAAACACTGATTGGTTGTTTACAATGAAACATGATCAGAGATCAGAGACTAGAAAAACATGTTCTACTGAATATTGGAGGAGAACCATCGTCAGTGAAACTTTATTCCAACATTCTAACTTGTTGTCCAACTATTTCTTGGTGCTTTTCAGTGAAATAAAAAGATTTGAGGCATGTCCTACCTGCCAGGTTTGGTGGCGTTGGTGACCTCCGGGGGGGCCGGGTTGGTGACGGTGGGGGGGCTGGGGGGCGCAGCCTCGGGGGCGTCCGACATGGTGGACGGAGGTGACGCAGCAATGCACTGTGGGATATCAGTGTCTGACCTAAAGGTGAAAAAACAACTCCCTCTGTGTTCTGAGGGTGTGTGTGTGTATGTGTGTGAGAGAGAGGGCACACAGGTGTGTGTTCAGTTCAGGTGTAGTTGGTGGTGCCGATTCTTCAGCTCGATGTTTCCTCCGAGAAGCCAAACTCCCATCGCACAACCTGAGAGACAGAGACGCCGTTAGCTAAGTTAGTTAAGTTATCAGAGAAACAAGCTGAGCTAACGTTAGCATCAGACGTCTGGATCTTAAGTTGTTAGAGGAACAAGCTGAGCTAACGTTAGCATCAGACGTCTGGATCTTAAGTTGTTAGAGGAACAAGCTGAGCTAATGTTAGCATCAGATGTCTGGATCTTAAGTTATCAGAGGAACAAGCTGAGCCAACGTTAGCATCAGACATCTGGATATTAAGTTATCAGAGAAACAAGCTGAGCTAACGTTAGCATCAGACGTCTGGATATTATTAAGTTGTCAGAGGAACAAGCTGAGCTAACGTTAGCATCAGACGTCTGGATCTTAGGTTATCAGAGAAACAAGCTGAGTTAACGTTAGCATCAGACGTCTGGATATTAAGTATTTGTACACTATGCTAGTGTTGGGCGGTTTTAATTTCCCGTATATTAATTTTTCCCACACCGTCATACCGGTGCATAGCCGAAACAACTTCTGTCGCTCTTCAACAGGCAGCAAGATATATTGTTCGCCGCTATGAGCGCTACGGTCGGAGCTAGTTATATTAAGTGTATCGAGAGGGAACCCTAGTCATGGTTATAACAACAATTAATAACGCGCAACTAACGCTCTTTAACGGGTCAAAACACCACGACACAACAGTTTGTGACACAAACAATTTGTAACACTAATAATTGTACATTTATAAAATTACACCGCCGAACGGCATGCTGGGTACAGCTCGCTAGCCTGCTAGCACAACAGTCTGCTAACAGCTGGGAGAGGCTCGTCGCTACATTAAGGAACAGAAAAGAGCGATGCAGGAGAGAGGAGCTGCTTCTGCTGTTTGGAGGTTTTTTGGTTTTAAAAAATCCGACGTAGATCAAAAGACGATATATTGTAAAGTTTGTCGAGCCGCTGTTATTGCCTCTGGTGGCAACACTAGCAATTTACTCCATCACCTCAGCCGAAAACATGTGTTGGAATACGAAGAGTGTGTGCGATTACGGTCCTCGGATGCTTTTTTGGGTATTTTGGTCAGACACATATGCAACGCTGATTAACGTAATATGTGTGGTATTTGTTATAAATGTACGTTGGTACATAGAAGGTGATAAGAAGCTGTACATGGAGGGGCTTAGGACCCAGGGGAATGTAGGTGAAGGAAACAGGAAGTGACGGAAGACACGCCACACAAACAGCTGTTCACCGCTCACTGGCCGGTTCTTGTGTTAGTCTTCAGCGTTAATTAGTTAATACGTTAACGCGGAAAAAGAAAATAGCGTGATATACCATGAAACCGCCAGAATCTTACAAAATACCGTGATACACATTTTTGGTCATACCGCCCAGCACTACGCTGTGCTATTAATACTTTTACTGCAGTCAAGCTCTGAGGACTCCTTCCACCAGACTACCTGCGGTGGAATTAACACCTGGACTACAACCTGCCTGAGACCCAGACCCAGTTCTGTTCTGTGTTACAGTAACAGGGACCGAAGCCTCCTCTAAAGAGTCTGGCAGCTGCAGACACACAACGCTAACAGACACACAGCGCTAACAGACACACAGCACTAACAGACACAACGCTAACAGACACAACGCTAACAGACACACAGCGCTAACAGACACAACGCTAACAGACACAACGCTAACAGACACACAGCTAACAAGCACTGTTAACAGACACACAGCTAACAAGCACTGTTAACAGACACACAGCTAACAAGCACTGTTAACAGACACACAGCTAACAGACACACTGCCAACAAGCACTGTTAACAGACACTGCTAACAGACACACTGCCAACAAGCACTGTTAACAGACACTGCTAACAGACACACTGCCAACAAGCACTGTTAACAGACACTGCTAACAGACACACTAAGCTAACAGACAAACTAAGCTAACAGACAAACTAAGCTAACACATTCCAGTCACCATTGACCCATCCACAGATGATGATGATGATGATGATGATGATGATGATAATAATAATAATAATAATAATAATAATAATATACAGACACACCCGCTAGGTGATTTACCGCTGAACGACACACAGATCCTCGCGCTAACTGCTCCACCTGCTCAGGTGTGAGCGTTTTTTTTTTTTTTTTTTTTACAGGCTAACGAAAACATCCCGTTTATCTCGCTTTAAAAAGATGGCGGGCAAGCACAGGGCAAAATATGAGCTAGGTGGCTAAGCTAACGGAGCTAGGCTACTTACCGAAGACGTAATTAAACGTCGTAAATAGTATTAATAGCCGTCGTGTTGACGTCTGGAGCGCGTGATGGAGGCAATATCCTGCCGGTTTGTTCGGTAACGAGCGGATTCACGCACTCACCGATCCGTTGTGTGCAGATGTTACCGCTCTAGCTAACGAGCCGTTAGCCTGTTAGCTGAGCTTTGTCTGGAGACACACAGCGACACTTCCGCTCCGTTTACCCGCTTAAAGCCACCGTTACCCGGTCAGAGAGGCGGCTCTACTTCGTGTCTCGGTGCTCCGGGAGGCGTCCGATCGACGGTCAGTTTTATGGAAGATTTTGTTTTTTTTATTTAGCGAAGTAGCATAATAGATGAGTTATCAGCTGTCTCCCGTCTGCGCAGGCGCAGTGGCGAACAGCATCGTGGATGTTGTTGTGATCGGATTGGCTGGCCGGGTTGTGTGCCGCGCTCTGACTGGCTGCGGGGTTTTTACGGGGTTGTGATTGGTAGCTGGGGGGATGTGAAGCGCTGTGATTGTCCGGTGAGTTAGATGAAGAGCGGTGATTGGCTGATGTGATGACTGGACGGCTGTGATTGGCTGGGGAGGTACAACTGGATCAGAATGGCGCTGTCACTGGAACTACGTTTCCCAGCATGCAGCGCAGCAGCAGAGAAGCTGGCTGAGGCCTGCTACTGAGGACGTTTAAATATATGAGATATGTTTATATTAATACAATAACTGATCTTTATATCGATACAATAGCTGATCTTTATATCGACATAATAACTGATATTTATATTTATACAACAACTGATCTTTATATTTATACAATAACTGATATTTATATTTATACAACTGATATTTATATCGATACAATAACTGATATTTATATTGATACAATAACTGATCTTTATATCGACATAATAACTGATATTTATATTTATACAATAACTGATCTTTATATTTATACAACAACTGATATTTATATCGATACAATAACTGATCTTTATATTTATACAATAACTGATCTTTATATCGATACAATAACTGATATTTATATTTATACAATAACTGATCTTTATATCGATACAATAGCAGATATTTATATTTATACAATAACTGATCTTTATATTTATACAATAGCAGATATTTATATCTATACAATAACTGATATTGATATTTATACAATAACTGATATTTATATCGATACAATAGCTGATCTTCATATCGATACAATAGCTGATCTTCATATCGATACAATAGCTGATATATATATATCGATACAATAGCTGAACTTCATATCGATACAATAGCTGATATATATATATCGATACAATAGCTGAACTTCATATCGATACAATAGCTGATCTTCATATCGATACAATAGCTGATATATATATCGATACAATAGCTGATCTTCATATCGATACAATAGCTGATCTTTACAATAACTGATCTTCATATCGATACAATAACTGATCTTCATATCGATACAATAACTGATCTTCATATCGATACAATAACTGATCTTTATATCAATACAATAACTGATCTTTATATCAATACAATAACTGATCTTTATATCGATACAATAACTGATCTTTATATCGATATATCATCAGATAGATTGAGTCATTTATGAACCAACACTGTGACAAACTGGATATAAACAAAAACATTCAGTCAAATAAAAAAATGTATTTCTATTAGGATTTAAGTCAATTGTTTCTAATTTATATTGAACCTTTATGAAGCCATGAACTCCCCTTGACACCTATTCAAATTTACTAAAGAAAAAGTATGAGATTTCTAACACAGCTCTAGTCTGAACTAGTCATCAACCTCTGGTTCCTTAAAGTGTTAAAGCTGCATTCTCTCTAGTGTCCACCAGGGGGCGACTCCTCTGGTTGTATAGAAGTCTATGAGAAAATGACTCTACTTGTCTCTTGATTTATTACCTCAGTAAACATTGTAAACATGAGTTTATGGTCTCAATCTCTAGTTTCAAGTCTTCTTCAATACAGCATGATGTTCATTTAGTACATTATGGTCCATTTAGAGTCAAACAGACCATAAAGCAGGGGATGCTTTAGGGCGGGGCTACACAGAAAATAATTGACAGTTGTCTTACACCAGGGGTGGCCAATACGTCGATCCTCCCTATTTGCCACTTGATTGGCGTACAGGGCAGCCAGTCTGAGATTACCTAATTAGTTAGCCACGGCTGTTCCGTGCACATCTGGGGAAGGCTGACTGTGATCACTCTGAGTTCTTGCTACACACTGATGTTTTTTTATTTGATTTAATTTATTATACTATATTGATCCCTTTAAGGGGGAAATTTGTCTCTGCATTTGAACCATCCCTGTATATAGGGAGCAGTGGGCTGCCAATGACAGGCGCCCGGGGAGCCGTTAGGGGTTCAGTGTCTTGCTCAGGGGCACTTCGACATGTGACACGTCCCAGCCAAGGGATGGCTTAGTAGGGGGAAATTTCGAGAGCTCTGTCCGGAGATAAGGGAGTTACTCCTTGTTGTTAAATATGCAGAATACAACCAACTAAATGACGATCAGTGGCTGCTAGACTTGGCATTTTTAACTGATCTGACTTAATTTAGAGCAAAAACCGTGGTCAATAGGATCAGCTCAGTTAATGCTTTCAAACGAAAAATGCAACATCTGTCCTCAAAGCTGCAGCGCCATGATTTGGGGAACTTGCAAAACCTCGCGTCAGAGCTGGAGACGGAAGGCGTGTTCGCAACTTGACAGTGTGCTACACAGAGCAGACTGACAAGTGTCTGTCAGAGTTTGACAAACGCTTTCAAGACTTTGCTTTACTCGAGGTTGATTCACTTGCATCAAAAATGTCAACGGTGTTTCACCTGAACTCGTCTGCAGTGGAGGATGAGATTCTGACACTACAGGCTGACGTTCAGCTGAAGTCCAGGGCTCATGGACAGGAGGAAGATACCCAAACATGAGGAGATGCGCTACCTTCTTCACTGCATTATTCGGCTCTACTTATTTATGTGAAGAATATTAAGTCCAAACACCGTTCCACCATGACCGATGATCATTTAGAAGTCTGCTTGAAGCTGGCTACTGTCCGGACTGCAGGCCTGTTGGTTCCATTCAGTGCAAGTCATCAGAAGGTAATGACCAGAAATGTACGGAATTAGATTGTGCCATAAGGGTTCAGCAGTTATGCAAGGTACGCCAACATATATTGTAAATATAAAGTATACTCAGTGTATGTATATATAGATATTTAACATTTTTAATGTAGGTAGATCATTCTGACTTGGTCATTTTAAACGTAGCTCGCCCTCCCTGTCTCACACACTTTGAAATGTTTCTCTTCAGATCAAAGAGAAAACACAGAAACATCAGTCTGATTATCAAGAAGCTTTATTGTCTTTATCAGAGTGAATATCTTCTTCATCATCATCATCATCCTGTTGCTATGGTTCTGTGTGCTGGACTGCAGGAGGCTGTTAACATGCAGTAGACTCAAGCAGACAGACAGACATGAGGACAGACAGACAGACAGAGGTAGGTCAGACAAAAAGGAAGACAAACGGGTGGCAGAGAGGTAGACAGGTGGACAGGTAGTGAGGTAGGGGAACAGACAGACAGGAGGACTGTCTGTCTCAGGTAGTAACAGACAGACAGGTGGGGGACAGGTAGCTATTGTGTTATTTACATACAGGTAGGCAGATACTATAGAAAGCTTATTGGCTGCCTTCCAGAGGCTCCGCCCCCCTCTCTTCTGTGTCGGCCAATACCCTGTGAGGAGGGGTGGGCTCTGCAGGCTGAGGGGAGGGGTGGGAGGAGGAGGAAGAGGAAGAGAGGGGGAGGTCTGGAGGTTCAGTCTGTAGCCTCCCTCCTCCGTCTGCCTCGCCGCCCATCAGCACCTCCTCCACCTGACCCCCCCCACCTGTTCCACCTCCTCCCACACGAGACCCGGCGAACTGCAGGTGAGGCAGGAGGGCGGGGGTGGCCAGGGGGGCCTCCTTCTCTCTCTCCCCCGCCGCCTCACTCTCCCGGTACAGCGGCGCCTCCAGGCCGAGGTAGGAGGCGCTGAGCTGCCGCAGGTCCAGTTCGAAGGGGCTGCTGCTGGGCTGTACCACCGCTTCTCCTCCTCCTCCTCCTCCTCCCCTCTTAGCCTTGCGGGGGTGGGAGGAGGTGGGGAGGCTGTCGGGAAGGAGAGACTGGATCTTGGGGAGCCAACGTTTGCGGACTCTTCGGGCGTTGGTGCACATGTCGGCCGCAATGACGTTCATCTCACTCTCCTTAAAGTTAGGAGCAAAGTTCTGACAGTAGACTGAGGAGGAGGAGGAGGAGAAGGAGGAGGAGGAGAAGGAGGAGAAGGAGGAGGAGGAGGAGGAGTGAAATCTCTCAATAGTTCCAAAATACAGTAAAAAGACATAAATCCATGAGTCAGACGGTCTGTGTGTGTGTGTGTGTGTGTGTGTGTGTGTGTGTGTGTGTCTTACGTTTGACAGTGTTTAACACCCGGTTGTCCAGAGGTTTTCTGCTCGGATCATTGGTGGAGGAGCGGATCCCTGTCCCACAGCTATTGGCCAGAGTGTTTCTATGGAAACCATAACAACCTAATCAGCACCTATACTGAGCTTTAGATCCCCCCCCCCTCACAGAGCAGTTATGTAAAACAGCAGCAGGATGTAAAGGACGCTGCTGATTGTCAGAATGTTCTGGAATATTTCACACAGCCTGATGTCACATGACGTCTGATGACCTCAGACTATCTGCGTGCGGGAAACGATTGATTATGAATCTTCATTTTGAAAAAAGTTCTCTATGTTGGTGGAGGTAATATGAGTCACTGCCCATAACATGCTGATCTATCTAACAGTAACCTGCTCTACCGGTCTCTAAACTAGGACCAGGGTCATGGGTGGACTTCCATAGGACCAGGATACAGGGTGGACCTCGGCGCGACCAGGATCCTGAGTTGACGTCCATGCGACCAGGGTACTGGGCGGACCTGCGCGCGACCAGGGTACTGGGCGGACCTCCGCACGACCAGGGTACTGGGCGGACCTCCATGCGATTCCTGAGCTAGCAGTTTACCCCTGCTCCCAGTCTTTATGCTAAGCTAGGCTAACCACATCCAGGATCACTTAAGTCATCGAGATGAAAACAGCGTTTACAAGTTTTTAGCTCACCTGTCGAAGAACGTAGCCAGCAGTCTCCTGAGCAGAACCTTGTGTTTGACTCCAGCACACAGGTGACAGTTCATCAGCTGACCTCGCGTCATGAACACACCTGAACCTGCACACACACACACACTGACATCAGTCTATGTTCACTTTTAAAATGTAACGCTCTACATCTACAGCTGGACAGATGTTCTGATGTCCTACCTGCCACCAGCTCCACCTTTTCTCCCGGGTCTCCCTCAGTGTAGAGCGACGGGTGGCAGCGATACCCGATCTGACTGATCAGACTGGCCGGGAGCGCCATGTTGTCCCGACCAACCAGTACGCAGGGCCGACGCTCGTTAGCCAATGGGAGGGACAGCATCTCTATCTTCTCTTGGACTGGACCAATGAGAAACGGAGAGAAGGGGTGTTTATAAATGTAGTTCCTTCTTATTAGACAGGAGCAAAAATAGATGGGATCGTACCATCATGTAACTTACTGTAGGGGTTTCCGGGATGTCCGTAGATGTGTTGGTAGAGTCCAGACTGGACGGTGTTCCCGTAGTAATCCTCCTCTAGCTCCTCCTCTGTGGGGGGGTGAGAGGGAGGGGAGTCCGTGGGGAGGCTAGAGCCTCCTGGACTGGAGCGCCCCCCATTCGCCAGCAAGTAGGACTGCAGCCCCGGAACCAGACCTCCACCTGCACCTAGGTAACACAGAGCACTGCTCCTGGTGGCCTGGGGGTCCCCAGAAACGTCCATTCTGAAGACAGAACGACAGGGACAAGATAGACGAGATATGACAACAGGGACAAGATATGACAACAGGGACAAGATAGAACGACAGGGACAAGATAGAACAACAGGGACAAGAACAACAGGGACAAGATAGAACAACAGGGACAAGAACAACAGGGACAAGATAGAACAACAGGGCCAAGAACAGGGACAAGATAGAACAACAGGGACAAGAGGGACAAGATACAACGACAGGGACAAGATAGAACAACAGGGACAAGATAGAACGACAGGGACAAGATAGACGAGATATGACAACAGGGACAAGATATGACAACAGGGACAAGTTAGAACAACAAGGACAAGAACAACAGGGACAAGAGGGACAAGATAGACCAGGAGGAGACAATCATACCAAAAGCAAGGCGCATGTAAAGAACATGTAGGGAGCATGGACGGTGCTGTACGGTGCATGTATGGTGATTTACGGTTCTGTATGGTTCTGTACATTGCTGTATGGTTCTGTGTATATTTATACCCACCTGGCCTCCTCTCCTCCTCCTACTCTTCTGGCTCCTCCTCCTCTGGCTCCTCCTCCGTTCTCCTCAGCAGGAGGAGTGTCGGCTCTCTCCTGTTTGATCCTGCTGACGGCCAGCAGCAGCTCCTCTGGGCTCAGGACCGGCTGGTCCGGACTGGACTCCTGCAGGTGGGGGGCGCCGTGCTGCTCGACCATCGGGGCGTCAAAGCCCCCGAGCTCGTCTGCTGAGGTCGTCTGTAATACATCAATGTGTTGACATAAAGTAAAAAAAGTAAACAGCTCATAAAGATGACTGACACTTCGCGAGGAATCAAAACAGCAGACATCTGTAGTTGGGGTGTGGTCAAAGAAAGTTTCGACCAATCAGCAGCCTCAGTTTTAAAGTGCATTGAGCTGCAGTTCCTCTAATGTCCACTAGATGCTGCTGAGTCTGAGGGGGAGGAGCCTTAAAACCTGGAGGTCTTCAATCGATTCAACGTTCTTATTCCTTTAATTAAGCAGAATTAAATATTTATACATATAGTTGATATGTGGTCCACCTGGATTGTGGCCTATATGTAGTCTCTATGTGGTCTGCCTGGTTTGTGGTCTACATAGATTGTGGCCTGTATGTAGTCTATATGTGGTCTACCTGGATTGTGGTCTATCTGGATTTTAGTCTATATATAGTCTATATGTGGTCTCCCTGGATTGTGGTCCACCTGGATTGTGGCCTATGTAGTCTATGTGGATTGTGGCCTATGTAGTCTACCTGGATTGTGGTCTGTATGTGATCTACCTGGATTGTAGTCTATATGTGGTCTACCTGGATTGTGGTCTATATGTAGTCTATATGTGATCTACCTGGATTGTGGTCTATATGTAGTCTATATGTGGTCTACCTGGATTGTGATCTATATGTAGTCTATATGTGGTCTACCTGGATTGTGGTCTATATGTAGTCTATATGTGGTCTACCTGGATTGTAGTCTACCTGGGTTGTGGTCTATATGTGGTCTACCTGGGTTGTGGTCTATCTGGATTGTGGTCTATGTAGTCTACCTGGATTGTGGTCTATGTGATCTACCTGGATTGTGGCCTATATGTGATCTACCTGGGTTGTGGTCTATCTGGATTGTGGTCTATATGTGGTCTACCTGGATTGTGGTCTACCTGGATTGTGGGCTATGTAGTCTACCTGGATTGTGACCTATATGTGATCTTCCTGGATTGTGACCTATATGTGATCTACCTGGATTGTGGCCTATATGTGATCTACCTGGATTGTGGTCTACCTGGATTGTGGTCTATATTTAGTCTACCTGGATTGTGGTCTATATGTAGTCT